CTTGAAAATCCTTTTGTAAACTTCAATTTTTTTGTCTTTTTCCCTTTACACTGGAAGTGGATTTAACAGGTGAAATCAATAGGAAATAGGGGCTTTGACCGGGATTCCGGGGTCTTTTGAATTCATGAGAACAGCATGATGTGTTTGTGCTCTCTGTATGGATACCACAAATAAGTATTGTTTTTAGAGGAGAATAGCTTTTTGGCCAACGCAGAGTGTGTGAACAGTGCACTTTGTTGACTAGCGCCGTGAGAGAATTGTTGCTCTGCCAGTGAGGCAGTTCATGTGTGTTGATGGAGGCAGGTTAAGAGTGTCAGTGTTGCGTCTCGCTCATGCCCTGCCTTAACTGTTATAACTACAGCTTTTCAAATGCTCCTGTGACACTTTGACACTCCAATTGTGCCTGGACAAGTGACAGAGAGGGGGAGAGAGAGAGTGTATAAGCATGTGTGTCTGTGTGTGTATTCTGAGTCCTTTGCTTTGTATGCACATACCTATGTACCTGCACGATTGTGGTGTGTTGTGTGCGTGCGTGTGACCTTTCCTAATCAGTTTGACTTTGTGACAAACAGGCAAAACATTTGACCCGAGGCTGTGATGTCACTGAGCGAAGCCTCCATTGTTTCCTGAACTCACATTTAGCAGCCATTCAAAGGCACTGAACTCGTAATAATTAGTTTGGAAGGTTGTTGCAAACATTAGTTCTATCATTGTTTTTTGTTGGACTTTAGATGCTGATACAAACAGGACTTAAAATGTAATGTTTGATGTTTCAAAATGTGTCTTATTTTGAATGAGTCTTTTTGGTTAATGTTGTAGAGCAAAGCCAGCCTTTGACCAACTTGTCAGACCCAGCTGGAGAATGAGTAACACCACATCAATGTTGATCTTTAATAAATCCACTCTTTAGTGGACTTACTTTCTATAAGCCTGAAAGTGTGTAACCACACCGGGGCCTCATGAGGCTGTAATATTCATTATACAGCAGAGCAAAGGAAACATTATTGTTGGTTGGGCTGATGTTAAGGTCATGTTGTTACATAAAGCAAAAGAACGTGATATTCTCTTTAAGGTAAAGGACACATTTTAAAATGCAACATCATGTCTTTTGATGTCCATAGCAAACACTGGACGCATCATACAAACTTACCCTGAGTTATGAGTTGTGATGTGCCAACAATTGTAGTAATGCCGATAACTAAAAAATACAATATATATATAAATATTATGTTCAGCCATATATCAGGTCAAATATAGGCCTAACAAAAAATAGAGAAAATGGCTTTACGTTTCTAGATACACATCTTACACCACCAGTGTGTATTGCCTTAAAGAACTCATAGACAACCATGTTTCCAGAAGCTCCTCCTCAAAACACCTAAATCCCTTTAGCTAATTAACCAATTTTTTATATTTCTACTTCAATAACAACTTTTTTAGCCTGGCTCAAACTTAAAAATGGTCTAGTATCAAATTATTAAGATATAGCTTGTAGAGGAAAATGAGGAAGCACTGCACTGAAATTATGTGCAGGTATTACAGTCATACTGGCATCGTTATTGTACTTTTTAAGAATTCAGATTTAGCAGAACTTCTTTATTTTAATGGCTTTGCGTGATGAAAATGAATAAGAACTATTCTTGCTAAACACTCATTATTCTCTAAGCTGTTCAAATCTAGACAAAGAACCCTAATCATAACGTTGTTTCATCTACGGACTGATCTAAAAATCCATCATCTAATTACAAACTAAAAAGCAGCTCATGTTGGTACAGTTGCACTTGGGGAAACAGAGTTAATATATCATCTCAGGCACTTCTAAAGGTGGGCCATATTTACCATATTGCCATAATACCCTATCATCAATTCCCTTTGTACTGGCGGATTGTGGAGGCTCACGGGCTTATAACAAGCAGTTTCATTGAGGCACATTTACAGGTGTAAGCTCAGGCTTTTGTCTGCACTTTGTAAGTGTAGCCTGTGTGAAGGCTGCTAAGACAGTGAAGCTGTGTGTTTGCTGCTTTAAACATACAGCCAGGACCTCGAGCTGAGCAGTGAAGAAACCAAAATCTCCCCAGAGTGAAAAAGGAGGATTGAACAGGGACACAGATTTAAATTCTCTCTTCTGCAACACACTGTGTCTTTGTCCTGTGGTAAATTGGTTAAACAGTTTCATGAAACAATTCAAAAGATGCAGTATCTCCAGGTTCGGAAACAAATCTCTGCATATGGGTTCGTAAACAGGGGTCGTATCTCAAGCAGCGGAGAGACCGGATTACATCTGCGCTGCACCAAATCCAGCCAATCCCCACTTTAACCCCCACATCCCCTCCTCTCCTGTATCTGCTTCCACCTCGCTCACACGTGCTGACTAGGGTGGCTCCTAACGGACTAATGAGGGCCACTTAGGTGTCAGCATTAGGCTTAGATAGCAGAGTGGCAGGGTGAGGACTTACAGTAAGTCCAGTGTAAGTAATTGCTCTCTCACTGTCTACTTCTCTCTTTCTATCTCTTACTTCTCTGCATTTTTCTGATTTCCCCAACTTGTTTTTTTTCTGTTATTCTCCCTTGGATTCTCCCTTTTACCCTCCCTCCAGACGGGGCTTATGAAGGGCTCATATGGGGTCTGTGTGCAGTGACCTCAGTGTCAATGTCTGAATAATTCAGGTGGGACTTTACCTTAAAATGCTGTCAAAACAATGGTATGGCTGTCACACGTTCATCCCTCTGGATTTACTCCACAATCATTCTGTCACAACATTTCTTTTTTATATATTTAAATAGGAAGCAGGAGAAGAAGAATGTTTCTCCTATGATTGCATATGAACAAGAATAACAGATTTAATATAAACGCATCCATAATATAGTTACAGAAAATAAATGCATTTCTGCTGATCAAATCTAAAAATGTTATAGAAGAAATTATATGAAATTTGTGCTCTGTTTTAGTTATATTACAGATTAAAGTCCTGCAATCAAAGTTAATACAAGAGTAAATGTAAAACAGCAATGTAAAATAAAATACAAAGGCCATGCCAAATGTTCCCTGTCTTTGTTATTTATTATGTTATTGAATCAACAAGTCCTCCAACTCATACGACCAAATGGGTCGATAGTTCAAGCGCTAATTACGGCCTATGATCACATTTTAAAGTTTTTGACCTCTAGTGCTCCTGTTGAATGCAAACGCGTAGTGTATATTTACTTTCAGAATCCATGTCCAGTGGATGTGTAGGATCTATAGTTTGATAGATTTTACGAAGATGATTTGAGGTCTCGCCAGGAGAACGTGTATATGCGGCAGCGTCCATGTAAAGTTAGCGTCAACCCTCACGGGGTGAAAACAGTATTTCCGGTCTCGAAGTTTTCATAATAAAGCCGTATTCCCCACCCTGTCAAATGATTTTAAAGCTATATCTGCAGTACTCATCCACTAAAAAACATCAGTTTATCCGTTAATTACACAACATTAATTGGTTTAAATTGTATTCGATGCTTTTGTGTTTTTCCCATAGGTTTTTCCCTTTCGATTCTGAGACACTTTTCTTTTTTCAGAGGGTTTTGATAGGCTAAAACACCTACCTACCCAAAATCCTCAGTTACTGTTCAAGCTTGGTGTTTGGATGTTTTAGCCGCAATGCACGTTGGGATATATAGTCCAGCAGATATGTAAAATATCTGAAAGAATTGTGGTTTTGATGCTAAAAGCATGAGATTTGGCACACTGTGGCATCTAAGGGAGATTTTTGGCTATAGGGCCATCACAGATTTGTCTAATGGTGCCAATGGCGGCCATTTTGAAAATGGTTGTTGGTTGTTATTTTACCAGTAGTTTAGGATCTAGACCAGGGGTTCCCAAACTTTTCCGCCCACGACCCCCAAAATAACAGTGCCAGAGACTGGCGACCCCCTGTCGACGNGGGGGGGGGGGGGGGGTGGTAGTGAATTGATGTCAGTTTTCCCCAATCTTGCAGGAATATCTCCGCAATGGAGCAATTTTAAGTTTCACTTTCGATTGCATGATATGAAAATGTCTATACAAATGTTATTATTAATAATAATTTAGAAAAAAAATTAGAAAAAAAATTAATCGAT